CCCCAAAACCCCAAAACCCCAAAACCCCAAAACCCCTTTAAATATTTTTCGAATTGGACCAAATAAATGAATTATCGCCTAACCTTCCAACTCCATTTCTACATCTTTCTTTTCCTCTTCAGCTTCTTCTTCTCCAAGTGCTACCAACGCTTCCTTCATATCTGTCCCATGTCTTTCAAGAATTGATACTGCTTGCTCGCTTATCTCCTCCATCTCATCAGAAACCCCATTCAAAAGGAACAGAAGAAGATCCTTCTGAAACTTCTTAGTTGCGTTAATATCCATATTCTTCAGCCAGTAATCAATCACTCTTACACAGACCCTTCTCACATCATGATGTCTGTCATTGATCGTCATCTTCAACTGAGGAAGAGCTTCCTCAAGGAACTCCTCTGCTCCTTTGCAACCAATGACAACCTTCAGAGCATTAAGTGAGGATCTCCTCACTTTAGAGTGCTGATGCTTTAGATTCTCTGTGAGGGAAATAACTACTTTCTTCAACTTTGGCCCGATATTGTCACTCAACTTTTCTCACAAGTTTTCACAGAATGAGGAAGCTCTGTTCTTCATCTCTGGATTATTATCCAGAAGGATCTTGGACAGCATCACACTTACTTCTGTTAACTTGGAAGTGAATTGTCCTGGAGCTTTCTCGAGGCAAGCTTCGAGAAGTTCTAGGAATTCGATTCGAACTTCCTCAGAAGGCTCTGGGAATGGAGTCTTGCCCATTCTTCCACAAATTCCTAGAATAATAAACTCTGCTTCATCATCAAGGTCAAGTCTCTCCAGTATCTGAGTAGTAATTGAGATTCCAAGACATCTAAGCTTCTCAATAGGGTCATTATAAATATTAACTATCGGCTTGAGCAGATGTATCTGCCAAAATTTCTGCAAAATCACATCACTCTTCTCCTTCAACAAATTTTTATCAAATTCCTTCAAAGCCTTAAGTCTCACATTTCTTTCCTTATCAAGCAATCAATTAACATTCCTCTTATTCCTTGCTACAAATTCCTTAAATTCCTCTTCTCCGCTAGCTTCCATAATTAATTTCAATTTTTTAAATTAGTGACGGGGTTTTGGGGTTTTGGGGTTTTGGGGTTTTGGGG